TTTTATAGCATTAGCATGAAAAGTTTAAAAACAATATCCTTCTTGATGATATCCTTGGGATCAATATCCTTTGAACCATGCGACAAGTATAAATTCCCCTGTTGTTGAAGAAGAATGGGATGAATGCACACTTTAGAAAAATTGTATGAAATAAGATGGCTCCCATCCGTAGTTTTTTATTCTGTGTGGCTTTCTCCTTTTAACAGTAGTAAAGGTCCCAGCTGATATGAAAACTACCATTAATCTAAAGAATCATATACAGGCGTTTACTTTTTCTTTTTTCATTATTTCCATGGTCGTGCCTTGTGGCACAGCAGCAATTCAAGGCCAATTTTCTGTCTGAAATGCTGATGCCGTAACGCATGTAATGTATGAATCTGCTTGGTCTGATCCCACCAATCCAAATTGGAATAAAAAAAAATTGAAGGTAATAGGATTCTAAATGAACAAGCAACAAAAAAAACTGAGCCACATTAAATCTCGCTAAAAAATTAATCTGTGCAGACCCTTACAGAAGAAAGCAGAGAAAGGTGTTTACAGTGAAGTAAGCAGCTAAGATGACATCTATGATTACACCATCAGCATCGACTCTGAGATCATTCATGGTTGCCTTCACACGTTGCTTTGACCTCCAAAAATGGGAAAACTTCTCAAGTCTGCAAGTATACATACAATATCTTAAGTCTCATTGAATAGAACTTTGCAGCTCAAGGAATGATTTGAAGTACATACCTGACTTTGATTTCAGAGTTGAGAGTGAAATATCCAAAAACAGTACTTCGTCTGTGTGAGAGAGAGTTGAGAGCTCATATCATATAGTGACCTCATCATTTATCCTGATGCAAGGAATGTGAGATATCTTGGCCCAATCTTCTCCAGCCTTATTCTGATACCTTTTCTCCAGGGCAGAACATTGGGAGATTCTCAGGAAAGAAAGAGATGGAGGCAAACCCTCTTCTGGCAGGAATTGGATACTGTCACACCCACTAATATGTAGGCTTTGAAGAGAAGTGAGGTGTCCAAGTCCCTTACCATCCAAAGATTTCATACTTGAAAGTCCCCAGATGCGGAGAGTGCGAAGAGTAGTAGGGAGCAGCTGTTCCAGAAGCAACGTCTCCAAGATATCCCCACTTCCCCTACCACCAATGCTAAATTCTTCAAGGGAGACGAGTCCTTGCAAACCCCAGTACTCTCCCACTGATGAAGGCCTCAGTCTCTCACAATTCTCAAGGCGAAAAACTCGGAGATTGGGAGGCAAACCCCCATCTTCTGCAAATGACTCAAGATTTGGAAGACCCCTTATCCCCAAATGTTGAAGACCTGTGAGGGTGTGAATGCGTTCGGGCAATGACTGCAAATTCTGGCATTCACGGACTGTAAAGTCATTCAAGTTGGGAGCGGGCAATTCTCCCGGAAAACACACCAACTTTGGACAGCCTGTGATATACAAAGTTCTGAGATGACTGAGATTCTCAACAACTCCTTCTTCAACGGAAAGGGATTCCAGATTCTCACACTCCCAAATGTAAAGCGACGTCAATTTGGGAAAAATGCCCAACGGAAAGGACCTCATTGAATCACAGCTATAATATATCTGCAAATTGTCAAGCGAGGTCAACTTGGCCATCATCTGATGAGGTAGGAATTCTAATCTCCTACAATTGACTATCTCAAGCGATGTCAACGTAGTAGGTAGACCATCTTCAGGGAATGACAACAGGTTTGGGCAATCACAGAGACTCAAATGTTGAAGACGATTGAGGTTGGGCAATAGTATCTCTGGGAACGATAACAGACCTGTTTCGTATACATCACCGATAAACAATTCTTCAAGAGATTTGTAGGAGTCCATTTTAAAACTAGAAGTAGTAGTAGTGGTGGCCCTTTGATCATGTAAAACCCCACACCCAGTCACCCAAAGCTTCTTCAAGCAAGGCATATGACAAGCCAAGGGCAAGCTTCCTCTAAGCTTCGGACAATCTTTTAGAATCAGCTCCTGGAGACGAGGAAAGTCTGGACCATATTCACCTCCACTTCCACTTCCACTTGGTACCCATTCCTCCCACTCTGCCATTTCCCCAAACTGCAGCTTCTCCAAAGATTGAAATGGCTGAATTGGGGAACCTTCATTTCTTCCATAGAACTCAACACCAATCGTCTTAACAAGTTTCATCCTTTTTATCTTGAGCTTCTTGAGAGCAGGTAGCCGCCCAATTGGTGGCATCAACCAACAGTAACTACAATCTTTGAGACACATGACTTGTATGTTAGAGAAGGACGAGTCTCCTAACCAATTAGGGAACTGGGTTCCACCATAGGATCTAATAGTTAGTTTCTCCAAATTCACGCAAGGTTGGAGCTTGTCAAGTACATCTTTCTCCTTTAGGGAATCATCTGCATCCTCATCACTCCATTTCAACTTTAACTCTTTTAGATCTTTCTTATCCTTCAAATTGCCTTGCAAGGCATCCCTAGCATCAACTACATTTTGCAGTTTCAATATTGAAAGCTTTCCTCGAAGCTGTGGGAGCTCCCTCAATTCTCCAATGCTCGGCCCAGTAGATTTCCCAACTACAAAAGCAGCCAATGTTCTCAAACTTTTTAGTCTACCCATTTGCACTGGCATCTCTACAATCTTAGTTCCACTGACATCAAGATGATGCAAATTAATCAATTTTCTCATATCTACGGGCAATTTAGTAAGAGACTTGCAACCTGTTAACATTAATTTCTGTAAATTTATCAATTTTCTCATATATGTAGGCAATTCGACAAGAGAGGAACAATGTGACAATAGTAACGTCTGCAAATTGTAAAGACCGCAAAGAACATCAGGTAACCTTTCAAGTGCAGTATAGGAGAGATCCAAGTATCGCAAGTGAATGAGATTTTCAATAGAATCAGGTAATACAGTGACATTCTTATAACGTGACAATGATAAGACCCGTAAACATCTTAGTGATGGCAACAAAACTTGTAGAACCTGTTTACTTAGATAACACTTTTCGTATGGATTCAAAGAGGTAGGCAAGAAGGTCCGCAAACACTTAGCTCCCTTTAATGGGTCAAATTTATGAGCAACATCAAATTCTTCCCTTGCATATGACAAATAGCGAACTCTTTCTATTTCATGTGATTCTCTCACGTCCAACCTGGAAAAAAATCCCTTAGCCATGAACATAGCTAAGTCACTGATGAGATCATGCATTGTGAAACTTGATTTCCCCGACGGTTGAAACAAAGATCGGGATAACAATTCATCAAAATGTTCCTTAGCAACCTCTTCGAGGCTTTTTCCATCCTCAACTTGGTGAATTAAACCTTCTCCCATCCAAAGAAAAACCACATCTTCTATATTGAATTCATAGTCCTTTTGAAAAATTGAACAATAAACAAAGCATCGTTTTAACTTGGCTGGAAGATAATGGTAACTCAATCCTAGAGCGGGAAGAATATCACTTTTCTCGTAAGGTAACTCCCAAATGCTACTATTTAATACTCTGTTCCATGCCTCGAAATCTAGTTTGCACCGTAACACACCGCCAAGTGTTTGTGCAGCTAAAGGCAACCCATTGCACTTGCGTGCAATTTGCTTGCCAATTTCTTCCAAGTTTGGATGTGCACTAGAGTTTTCATTTCCAAAAGCATGTTTTGCAAGTAACAACCAGCAATCTTCATGGGATAATGGTTCCAGGGATTGAATAGGAACATTTTGCATTTTTGATGCTACATTTTTGTTCCTTGTTGTTACAATGACTTTACTTCCCCTTGCCCCTGAAGTAAAAGGAGTTTGGAGGCACTTCCAATCAGTATATTTCTCATTCCATATGTCATCCAACACAAATAAAAATTTTCTTCCCTTCAGTTGTTCTCTTAGTTGAACTTGAAGCAAATTCAGATCTGTCGTTGTACAAGGCTTTAAGGTGACTGACTCAAGAAGAGTTTTAGTTACCCTAATAGCATCATAGTCTTCTGAAACACAAGCCCAAGCTTTAAGTGTAAAATGTTCTTCCACCTTATGGTCATTGTAAAGCATTCGAGCAAGGGTTGTCTTGCCGACTCCACCCATTCCAACAATGGTAATCACAGCCACATCATCCTTACTTGCGTCATCGGATAACAACAATTTTGACAAATTTTCTTTGACTTCATCTCTACCATACACACAAGGTTCATGAACCAAGGAAGTTGTTGGAGTTTTTTGTGGAACCTTCCTCCCAACATATTCTCTCAGACCAAGAGCACTTTTCAGCTGTACAAAGTCTTCTAATCTTTGTAATAACTCTTGTATCTTAACATTCATGCTCTGATAAAAATGGTTATGAGAAGTAGATAGGAAGTTCCACACCTTATTGGTTAAATTGTCGATTTGACCTTCACCTTCGAGCTTGCATCGCAAAGCTTCATAGTTGATCTCATCCAGTAAGTCCTCCGCATCAAAGACAGCATGCTTGAGCTCGTTAAGCCACTCTCTCACAGCCGGGTTCTCTATTTGCTTCTCCTCTGCATCATTGAGCACTGCGTTCAAGGTCAACAGTGTCACCTTCAGTTTCATGAGGAGAGGTTGATCCAGTTTCTTCTGCCGAAATAAGTCGATGAACTCGCGTGAAGTAATTCTGTCACACAACACCTGGATGGAACCAGAGATAAAAGCCTCTCCGATCAAAGCTCCAGCCATCTCTCTGGTCTGCAAAAGATTCGGGTGATGCAAAGCAACACAGGTCTGGAAGTATGAAAGCTTTTTTATATTGGAAATACAGGTAAGGATGAAAACAAAGAAACACTAAGTACTGTATTATTGTTTTTATGTTTGTTTATTTCAATTTGTGTTATTATAGTTTCATATCAACTAATGCGTACGACCAATAAGATTTGTGGGTTGACCGACCACACGGCCAATAAAGCACTATAGTCTGAAACGATATAGAATTAGATAGGACTTTCTCTTTTATTTCTTTTTTATTTATATATAAAAGTTTTAGTGGAGACTGGCTACTCTCACTACCTAAGCCAAAGCAGATCCACAACCTCGAGCCGAATATTTATTTATATATTTATGTCAAGTTGTGCAATTATATTTTCACAAGCAGGAACTTGACTAGTAGCTAACGTCTTACTAAAGAAGACAACATGGGACCACTTGCACTCAAGCTGGAAGAGTCCCCTATTTGGCTTATGGATGAGTATATCCGATAATGATTCCAAGGTTTGAATAGGAGCAATTTGCATGAGAGATGCTAATTTTTGTTCGGTGTTACGAGGACTTTACTTCCCCTTGCTAATGAAGTAAAGCAAAAGAAAAAGAAAAAAAAAATAAAAAACAACTTTACCTAAAAAAAGAAAAAGAGAAAGAACAAAGAAGGTGACGTTACTTTGCTTCATTCATTTTAATCGTAATCACAAACCCTGGAAGAAGCATGAAATATCAAGAGTTATTTACAAAAGAAACTTTTAGAATCAAGCCCAGACAATTCAAATATTATCAGATTTAACCGGATATTTTTGTATCATCCACTTAGGTCAATTGACGTTCATCTCTTTCTTTATTTTTTTTATTTTTTAATTTATGTCTATATTGCCCTTGAGATAAATAATAGAAATTGTTGACTAGTAAGACTAGTGGTCAACGTAAACATTGACCCTAGAGGGGGTGCAAGGTAGCGAAGGATTAAAGTGTGTGAGTTGAGTGGAGATGCGAAAGAATCAGATGGGAGCCTGCAAAAAGACTACCAAGTTAGCATTTGTTGTGACTTTAAAAGGACATAAGTTGTGATCAGTTCAGTATAATAACAACCCTAAGAAATAAAGCAAAATAACAGAAATCAGATTAAGTTTTTTCTTGGACGTTTAACCTATTTTCTTTCTTATTTTAAATATGTATATTGTTCTATGTATTTGTCATTTTAAAATAAAGTAGTTGTGTTTTGAATTTTTTTTAAGTGAGGGCAAATTTTAGTTATTAAAAAATTAACAATAAAAGTTTTTTGCTTTATATATATCCCAAGAGTTATTTACACTAACACCCCTCTCAGATTTCGGATTTTTGACAACACTCTCTGCGGTTTTGGAAATTACACGAACACCTCCTAATTAGGTTTTAAATTGTTTTTACAAAACCTCTTTTCTTTGATTTTTCATCCAAATATTGATGATTTTATATATAAAAATTCTCAAAATGACAAAGTTAGCCTTTGAGATTAAATTGCACATACATTTATTGAGGTTGATTTAGTCATTTGCACACATTTTTTTTAAATGAAACCATCAAGTTTTGGATGAACAATTAAAAAAAAAAGGATTTTATAAAAACAATTTAAACATTAGATCGGAGGGTGTTCGTGTAATTTCTGAAATGTTAGGGGGTTTTGTGAAAAGTCAAAAACTTGAGAGAGTGTTAGTGTAAATAACTCTATATCCCAACCTATATTGACTTTCTTTTACTGCGAAATTCTCTTTATATAGAATTTGGTTGTGTTTTTCTTGCTTAACAGTGTAACTAATGTTATCTTCTTCTTTTTCTTTTTTTCCTTGTTTTCAAATTTTATTTATTCATAAGATTGTCAATTTATTATATAATCCTCACTTAATCAATTCTTTTCTTTCTTAATATTTTTATCAACTAGAGGCATTTGTGATATTATGAAAGGCATTTTTCCAACAATGAGGTGTTAGTTGGATTGAATAAGGCATTTAGCATGCTCCTTTGACGTGCTTCCAAGCAGTGGCGGTTCTAGGATTCGAAAGCCGATCGGGGAAAACTTATATACTAAACTCGACTGTATAAGTGAATTTCATTAATAAACATAAAAAGATACACTTAGTGAGGGTGACGTAATGAGCCGGCCTACTCTCAAATGCATCTATATCTACAAATACAAAAACTAATTTCTGAAATTTCTGAAATTTCTGAAACAATTGTCTTTGTGCGAGACAAAAAAAATTATAGGCGGGCTTGGGGTTTGTGTGAGACAAAAAAAAAATATCATAAGTAGTGTAAGTAATATTTTTTAACTAAAAGAGAGAAGGAATAGGAAGAAAAAAGAAAGAGAGAGAGGAGTGAAGATAGAAGGAAAATAATGAAAAAAGAGAGATGATAGATGAGAGAAGTAAAAAAAAAAAGAAAAGAGAGGGAGAGAGAGAGAGAGAAAAAAATGGTTTGTACAGGTTTGTATATGCTTAATTTAAGTGGGGGACATATGTAGTGTAGTGTAGTGTAGGTAAGAATTTTTTAACAAAAATTTGGGCCGGGCATGAGCCTGCCATAGGCTAGAAATGCCCATGCTTCCAAGTGGTCCTAAGTTCAAGTCTCCATAATACCCACGTGTATAAAAAAATAATAATAAAACATTTTCCCCCTCACGAGACAAATACTTTCTAATGAGTATGGATACAAATTTTATAGCATTAGCATGAAAAGTTTAAAAACAATATTTAATTTGCCAAGAAATTTGAAGCTTCCTTACAGCAGTTAATAATTTTCATTAGTCATACAATTTTTTATTTCTCTTTCTCATTTTTCTTCATTAATCATATAATTTTCATTTTTCTTCATTTTTCTAATTTTTTTTATTTCTCTTTCTCAATCTTCATATATAGAGAGAGAGAGAGAGGCAAAATGTAATCACTATTTCATATTTTTTAAAAATAACTTGATTAAATTATAAAAATTCAGTTTTTTTTTTTTTTTTTGATGACCTTGTGAATTTGAGATGTGGGTCTTTGTTGTATTTTTAGTTCTTTTTTTATTTGTCTTTAGCAATTTACACATGTATCTTCGTGCATCATAACCAATTCTCACATTATTGTGATCATGAAAAAATTCTTTGAATTATCATCTCCTTCTCTACATTTTTTGTTTTTGGTCTACATATTTACCTTGCTAGTTACTAATAGTCTACCACTTATCAGGTCAATCCAATACACAACTCGAAACCCGCACAGAAAATTAGCGGCTCAACCCAACACGTTTATTAAATAGGTCGGATTTGGATTGAGTATTCTTGACATGTATATGATCCGGACACGACACAATACGATTCATTGTCATTCCTAGATAAGAACCCCTAAAGATAAAGTAGAACTTCTCAAAAAGTCAACTTGTTTTCTTGAAATAAAAAGAAAATTAAATAGTGCATAATAAAATTGTAGGTTACCAAGGTGAGTAGATAAAAAGACTTTCTAGAAAATTACTTTAACCCTTTAACATTTTATTTATAGAAAAATAAGGTGATGGGCTACAGGTTAAAAAAAAAATTGAAGAGGAAAAGCCAAATGTAGAGCTCCCTTAATTAAAAAGTTAAAAACCAAAAAACAAAAGTTTGGAAAAAAGAAAAGAAAAGGAAATGACTCCCCCCTACCCCTGCAAAACATTGAATAAACATCGTAACATTACATGAAAGGAATCTAAAATACAGCACTACTCCAATCATAACATGAATGAGATTTAAAAACAGAGAAAAGGAGAGAGATGATAAACAAAGCTTAAACAAGCTTAATTCAGTTATAAAATTTTATAATTGCTGAATGATCTCTCTCCTCAACCAAGGATCACCTGTTGATACTAAGACAATATACATTTGTAATGTAGCGCAACATTAATAACATACATGTAGTACTTGGGAAAGTCCAAAGACTAATTAATGGCATGAACCCATTAAAAGTCCCTCTCCCAATGAATGGGAGTCCAGATTTTCTTTTCACTTAAACCTAACCTAACAGTGTTAAACTTTAATAAAATTAAAAATAAGGTTAGGGTTAAGTGAGAAGACACATGTCAAAAAGTTAGATAGGAGACAGGGAGGAGAAAGACAAAATTGGGACAGAAGATCTGGAGCGTGATGAGTGTGGCCCTGGTGAATGATAAAAACTTACAACTTGAGCTCAAAGATTATCTATAGGCATCGAATACAATTTAAACTAGCTCAAATGTACCTAAAAATGTTGTACAATGATAAACCCTTCCCCAGAAATGACACGTAAAGTAACATTGCAGATGAAAAGCTCTCCAAGAGAAGGTATCCTGTCCTGCAAAAAGACCACTAATATTCAGCGTTGTAAAACTTAATAGGATATAAGTTGTGATCAGCAGAACAACCCCAATCAGAAAGAAAGTAAATAGAACGAGAATTCACTGAGCAAAGTAATAATAGAAATCAGATTTGAGTTTTTGTGTAAAGCACACAAATTTGTCTTTCTGGAAAATGATTTGCCAAAAAGCATGAGACCAGTAAACAGCAGTGACAATGTATTTGACAAAAAGCAGTGATTATAAGTTAAGTACAACATGGTTTTTGATCAAATGCCCGAAATTATTTAACCAATATGGGAATGCGAGCTTAAGTCTAAATCTCCTGAATACGTACAATTAGAAATACCCATGGAGAACAAAAAAAAAAAGTTGTGTATTTTGGTTTATTTGGATATTGAATTGGGGCAATCCAATATTTATTTCAGTTTTTTGAACTGAAAAAGAGTATTTATTTTTGGTTTTGTACTGAATAAGAAGAACACCAGTTAAAGCAATTATTAGTACCTGACTTGTCTGTGTCCATGAAAGAGAGAGATCATATCATATAATGACATAGGCGATTTATGTTGATGCAAGGAATGTGAGATATGTTGGCCCAATCTTGTCCCGTCTTATTCTCATACCTTTTCTCCAGGGCATAACAATCGGAGATGCTCAGTAAAGAAAGAGATGGCGGCAAACCCTCTTCTGGCAGGAATCCGAGACTCGGACAGCTATAAATATGAATCAGTTGAAGACAAGGGAGGTGTCGAAGACGAGGGAGGAATTCGAGACCGTCACACCCACTAATATGTAGTTGTTGAAGAGAAGTGACGTGTCCAAGTCCGTTTCTGTCCAAAGATTTCAGACTTGAGAGTCTATTGATGTGGAGAGTGTGAAGATTGGGAGGGAGCAGATGTTCCTTGAACAACCTCTCCAAGATATCATCACTTCCCCTGCCACCAATTGAAAAATCTTCAAGGGAGAAAAGTCCTTGCAAACCCCAGTACTCTCCCACTGATGAAGGCCTTAGTCTCTCACAACAATTATGAATGCTAAAATCTCGGAGGTTGGGAGGCAAGCCACATTCCGCAAATGACACAAGATTTGGAAGATCATGTATAACCAAACCTCGAAGGGCTGTGAGGGTGTGAATGCGTTCAGGCAATGACTTCAAATTGTTGCATCCATTGATCATAAAGTGAATCAAGTTGGGAGCAGGCAATCCTCCCAGGGGAAAACACACCAGATTTGGACAGTCTGAGATATACAAGTCTCTGAGATTCTTATCAACTCCTTCTTCAATCGAAAAGGATTCCAGATTCTCACACTTCAGAAAACTAAGATACCAGAGTTTGGGAAAAATACCCAAAGGGAAAGTCCTCAGTGAATCACAGCTCTCTAGTATGCCCAGTCTCTCGAGCGATGTCAGTTTGGCCAACATCTCATGAGGTAGGAATTCTAATCTCCTACAACCGTATATATGAAGTGATGTCAACGTAGTGGGCAGGCCATCTTTTGGGAACGACGACAGGGTTGGACAATCATAAAGAGCCAAATATTGAAGACGATTGATGTTGGGCAAGCATTGTATGTCAACAAAATTTCGAATGTCAAGTTCGGACAGGAACTTTGTCTCTAGTACTGATAACAGACTTGTTTGGCTTCCATCTTCTATTTTCAATTCTTCTAGAGATTTGTAGGAGTACATGTTAAGGCTACTAATGGTAGTAGTAGTGGCCCTTTGATCATGTAAAACCCCACATCCAGACACGCTAAGCTTCTCCAAGTAAGGCATATGACAAGGCAAGGTTCCTCTTAACTTCGGACACTTTTTTAGAATCAGCTCCATAAGACAAGGAAAGTCTGGACGATATTGACCTCCACTTCCACTTGGAATCCATTCCTCCCATTCTGGCATCTCCTCAAACTCCAGCTTCTCCAGTGATTGAAATGGCTGAATAAGAGAACCCCCATTTCTTCCATAGAACTCAACACCAATCCTCTTAATAAATTTCATCCTTTTTATACAGAGCTCTTTAAGAGCGGGCAACTCCCCAACTGGTGGCATCGACCAACAATAACTGCAATCACTGAGATGCATGACTTGTATGTTAGAGAAGGACGAGTCTCCTAACCAATCTGGGAAGTTGGTTCCACCATAGAATTTGATGGTTAGTTGCTCCAAATTCACGCAAGGCTGGAGCTTGTCAAGTACATCTTTCTCCTTCTGAGAATCATCTACGTCCTCTGCACCCCATGCCAACTCTAACTCCTTGAGATCTTTCTTATGCTTCAAATTGGCTTGCAAGGCATCCCTCACATCAACTACATTTTGTAGCTTCAGAATTGAAAGTTTTCCTCCAAGATGCTTCAACTCCCTCAATTCTCCGATGCCTGACCCATAAGATTTGCCCACAACAAAAGCTGTCAATGTTCTCAAACTTTTTAGTCTACCCATTTCCACTGGCATCTCTGCAATTTTTGTTTCATTGACATCAAGATGATGTAAATTACTCAATTCCCTCATGTCTACAGGCAATTTAGTGAGAGACTTGCAACCTGCCAACATTAATTTCTGTAAGTTTATCAATTTTCTCATGTCTGCGGGCAATTCAACGAGAAATGAACAATCTGACAATAGTAATGTCTGTAAATTGTAGAGATTGCAAAGTACACCAGGTAACCTTCGAATTGCAGTATGGGAGAGATCCAAATAGTGCAAGTGAATGAGATTTTCAATAGTATCAGGTAACTCAGTGACATTTTGATATTGTGACAATGATAACACTTGTAAGCATCTGAGTGATGGCACCAAATCTTGTAGAACTTTTTTACTTACATAATACCTATTATAAAATCGATAAGGGTTTAAAGAGGTAGGTAGGAAGGTCCGCAAACACTTAGCCCCATTTAATGGCTCAAATTTAAGAGCGATATCAAATTCTCCCCTAACATATGACAAATAGCGAACTCTTTCTACTTCATGTGATTCCCTCCCTTCCAACCTATAAGAAACTCCCTTAGACATGAACACACCCAAGTCATTGATGAGATCATGCATGGTGAAACTTGATTTCCATGACTTTTGAAACAGTGATCGGGATAATAGTTCATCAAAATATTCCTTAGCCACCTCTTCCATTCTTTCGCCATTCTCAGCTTGAGGAATTAAACCTTCTCCCATCCAGAGGAAAACTACATCTTCTATCTTGAAACTATAGTCCTTTGGAAAAATTGAGCAATAAACAAAGCATCTCTTTAACTTAGCTGGAAGATAATGGTAACTCAATCCTAGAGCTGGAAGAATATCACTTTTCTCATAAGGTAACTCCCAAATGTTGTTGTTTAATACTCTATTCCATGCCTCAGAATCTATCTTGCAACGTAACACACCACCAAGTGTTTGTGCAGCTAAAGGCAACCCATTGCACTTGCGTGCAATTTGCTTGCCGATTTCTTCCAAGCTTGGATGTGCACTAGAGCTTTCATTTCCAAATGCATGTTTTGCAAGTAACAACCAGCAGTCTTCATGCGACAATGGTTCCAAGTATTGAATAGGAACATTTTGCATGACAGATGCTACATTTTTGTTACGTGTTGTTACGATGAGTTTACTTCCCCTTGCCCCTAAAGTAAAAGGAGTTTGGAGGCACTTCCAATCAGTATATTTCTCATTCCATATGTCATCCAACACAAATAAAAATTTTCTTCCCTTCAGTTGTTCTCTTAGTTGAACTTGAAGCAAATTCAGATCTGTCGTTGTACAAGGCTTTAAGGTGACTGACTCAAGAAGAGTTTTAGTTACCCTAATAGCATCATAGTCTTCTGAAACACAAGCCCAAGCTTTAAGTGTAAAATGTTCTTCCACCTTATGGTCATTGTAAAGCATTCGAGCAAGGGTTGTCTTGCCAACTCCACCCATTCCAACAATGGTAATCACAGCCACATCATCCTTACTTGCGTCATCAGATAACAACAATTTTGATAAATTTTCTTTGACTTCATCTCTACCATAAACACAAGGTTCATGAACCAAGGAAGTTGTTGGAGTTTTTTGTGGAACCTTCCTCCCAACATATTCTCTCAGACCAAGAGCACTTTTCAGCTGTACAAAGTCTTCTAATCTTTGTAATAACTCTTGTATCTTAACATTCATGCTCTGATAAAAATGGTTATGAGAAGTAGATAGGAAGTTCCACACCTTATTGGTTAAATTGTCGATTTGACCTTCACCTTCGAGCTTGCATCGCAAAGCTTCATAGTTGATCTCATCCAGTAAGTCCTCCGCATCAAAGACAGCATGCTTGAGCTCGTTAAGCCACTCTCTCACAGCCGGGTTCTCTATTTGCTTCTCCTCTGCATCATTGAGCACTGCGTTCAAGGTCAACAGTGTCACCTTCAGTTTCATGAGGAGAGCTTGATCCAGTTTCTTCTGCCGAAATAAGTCGATGAACTCGCGTGAAGTAATTCTGTCACACAACACCTGGATGGAAGCAGAGATAAAAGCCTCTCCGATCAAAGCTCCAACCATCTCTCTGGTCTGCAAACGGTTCGGGTGATGCAAAGCAACACAGGTCTGGAAGTGTGAAAGCTTTTTGATATTTTTTATGTTTGTTTATTTCAATTTGTGTTATTATAGTTTCATATTCTACTAATGAATACGACCAATAAGCTTTGTGGGTGAGACCACACGGCCAATAAAGCACTATAGTCTGAAACGATATAGGATTAGGTAGGACTTTCTCTTTTATTTCTTTTTTATTTATATATAAAAGTTTTAGTGGAGACTGGCTACTCTCACTACCTAAGCCAAAGCAGATCCACAACCTCGAGCCGAATATTTATTTATATATTTATGTCAAGTTGTGCAATTATATTTTCACAAGCAGGAACTTGACTAGTAGCTAACGTCTTACTAAAGAAGACAACATGGGACCACTTGCACTCAAGCTGGAAGAGTCCTTTGTTTGGCTTCTGGAAGAGCCTATCTGATAATGATTCCAAGGTTTTAATAGGAGCAATTTGCATGAAAGATGCTATATTTTTGTTCCGTGTTGTTACAAGGACTTTACTTCCCTTGCTTCTTAAGTAAAGCAAAAAAAAAAAAAAAAAGAAAAAACAACTTTACCCAAAAAAGAGAGAGAGAGAACAAAGAAGGTGACTAATACTGAAGGGGCTTTTAGAATCAAGCCCAAACAATTCAAATATTATCAAAGTTTACCAGATATTTTTGTATCATCCATTTAGGTCTATTGATATTCGTTACTTTTTTTTTATGTCTATCTTGCCCTTGAGATAAATAATAGAAATTGTTCACTAGTAAGACCAGTGGTCAACGTAAACATTGTGCAAGGTAAGGTAGCGAAGGAAGTGTATGAGTTGAGTGGAGATGTGTAAGAACACTACTAGACCCTAATTTGGCATTGACAAGAAACCTTGCAAATGAAAAGCTCTCTAAGAAAAGTCATGTTGTCTTGCAAAAAGACTACTAAGTTAGCATTTGAGACTTAAAAGGACATAAGTTGTGATCGGTATAACAATCCTTACCCTAAGAAATAAAGCAAAATAATAACAGAAATTAGATTAAGTTTTTTTTGGACGTGCATCCTATTTTCTTTCTTATTTTAAATATATATTGTTCTATGTATTTGTCATTTTAAAATAAAGTAGTTGTGTTTTGATTTTTTTTTTTTTTTAAAGTGAGGGCAAATTTGAGTTAATAGAAAATTAACAATAAAAGTCTTTTGCTTTATATATATCCCATGAGTTATTTACACTATCACCCCTCTCAGATTTTCAAATTTTTGACAAAATTGCGATTTTGGAAATTACACAAACACCTCATGAGGTTTTAAATTATTTTCACAAAACTCATTTTCGTTGATTTTCATCCAAATATTGATGATTTTATATATATAAAAAAATTCTCCAAATGACAAAGTTAGCCTTTGAGATTAAATTGCACATACATTTACTGAGATTGCTTTTGTCATTTGCACACGTTTTTTTAAATGAAACCATCAAGTTTTGGACGAACAATCAACGAAAAGGAATTTTATAAAAACAATTTGAAACTCGGAGAGTGTTCGTGTAATTTCCGAAATCTTAGGGGGTTTTGTGAAAAGTCAAACACTTAAGGGAGTGTTAGTGTAAATAACTCTATATCCCAGTCTATATTGACTTTCTTTTACTGTGAAATTCTCTTTATAGAATTTGGTTGTATGTTTTTTGCTTAACAATATAACTAATGTTATCTTCTTCTTCTTCTTTTTTCCCTGTTTTCAAATTTTGTCAATTTATTATATAATCCTCACTTAATAAATTCTTCTTTCTTAATATTTTTATCAACTAGTCATTTGTGATATTATGAAAGGCATTTTCCCAATAATAGGGTGTTAGTTGGATTGAATAAGGCATTGAGAGTGTCCTCTTGATGTGCTTTCAAGTGGTCATAAGTTCAAGTCCTCATAATACTCACGTGTGTGGAAAAAAAATAATTTATCCCGTCACAAAACAATTACTCTCCAATGAGTATGGATACAAATTTTATAGCATTAGCATGAAAAGATTAAAAACAATATTTAATTTGCCAAGAAATTTGAAGCTTCCTTACAGCAGTTAATAATTTTCATTAATCATACAATCTTTTTCTTATTTCTGTGTTTTCACCTGTACGTTTACCTTATTTATGTAAAATTATAACAAAATATAATTAAAAACGGGTTTTTCGTTTGCGCAAATTTTTATAGAAAGGGGAAACAAAACGAAAAAACCTTTCCAAATTCTCAATCCTATCTTCTACCTAGACGACGAAGTCCTAGTTAATTACGGAATTGCCCCTTCCCCATTTCATTCAGGAGGCTCCACTTTCCAACTTCTTTGCGGAGTTGTATAGAATCCGCCTTCAAGGCTCTTTAACAATACAAAACCTTTTGCAATTTCTCCACCGACTCAATCTTTGCATCCCTTCTCAATTTGATACTCAAAATATCAAATTCAATCTGTTTTATTTTCTCCGTTCAAAAACCCTAAGATCCTCCTCTCTCAGGTCTTCAACCACCGAATTAGGGTTTCCGTTCTCCAATCCCAGAGGCACACAGAGAGCGAACGATAGCCATGGATGATAGCTGCGCTGTGTGTGCCGATACTCTCGAATGGGTCGCGTACGGGGCTTGTGGACATCGCGAGGTGTGCTCCACCTGCGTCGTTCGTCTCCGCTTCATCTGCCAGGATCGCCGATGCTGCATCTGCAAGACCGAGTCCGACGTCGTTTTCGTCACCAAGGTAAGGGCTTTTCCTTTATCTCGAGTTTTGATTCTTGTTTCGATTTACGATTTTGTGTTGAAATTTCAAATAATAATTGAAATTTACGATTTTAGCACACGTAGCAGCTCGTAAGTAATTGAATTTTTGTGTTTTGGAGAATCTGAATGTTCTTTCTTCTGGCTTTGAGGATGTTCTTTTAAATGTTACCCCTTTCCGCCGTTCCATTGATGTTTTACACTGTCTTCTTCTCTGCTTCTGGTTTCTTTATGATAGATTGTTTATATGGTGTGCTTTTTCTATCTTTGCAGGCTCTAGGAGATTATACAAGGATGATTAGTGACTTCTCAGTCTTGCCATCTGAAGTAAGGGAGGGTCGTGTGGGATCATATTGGTACCATGAGGACACACAAGCGTTTTTTGATGACGTGGACCACTACAAGATGATCAAGGCAATGTGCAAGCTTTCATGCAGCGAATGTGACAGGACGGAGGAGCAATCAAATGACGGCCCGAAGCGTCGGGGGAAGATTCGGAACGTTGAACAGCTGAAGGGCCATTTATTTCACAAACATAGGTTGTTCATGTGCTCATTATGTTTGGAAGGGAGGAAGGTAGAATCCATATACATGATTGCTATGATACTTGAGATTTATCGTATATTTACACTTTAAGCAGAGCTTTCGTTCTATTGTATCCTTTCGGTCTTCTTTATTAACCTTTTTCTTGTGTGTAATCCATTGGCTTCTTATGCACTACACAGGTGTTTATTTGTGAACAAAAATTGTATACTAGAGCACAATTGAATCAGCATATAAATTCGGGTGACTCTGAAGTGGATGGAACTGAGAGTGAAAGAGGTGGCTTCATGGGACATCCTGTGTGTGAGTTTTGCCGAACCCCATTCTATGGGGATAATGAACTGTACTCCCACATGTCTACCGAACACTATACTTGTCATATATGCCAAAGGTAAGTAAGCCGTCTTTTACTGAAAAGAATGCTATGTTTTGATTGTAATGTAGAATAAGTTTAAGCTCATATGAGATCCTATGCTGATCAATGCAGGCAGCATCCTGGACAGTATGAATATTATAAGAATTACGATGACCTGGAGGCAAGTTATTGGTGATTTTGTTATTTATTTATTATTTATTTTATTTGTGGTGCCTTGTATGAGTTTTGAATATTTTTTTTCATGTCATAGATGCACTTCCGCCATGGTCATTTCCTATGTGAAGATGAGTCCTGCCTTGCCAAAAAGTTTGTTGTCTTTCAATCTGAGGCAGAAATGAAGGTGAATTTTTAGAACGTGAGATATTTTCTGTGTTCCTGCATCTTGTAGCATTTAATTATTTTGACTTTGCTTTGTTTTTTATTTTTCAGAGGCATAATACGATTGAACATGGAGGGCGTTTGTCTCGTTCTAAGCGTAATGCTGCTTTGCAGGTAAGTATAAGTATTCTTTTTTTTTTTTCTTGAAATTGATGGAGATTATATAGTAAAGGTAGAAATTAGGGTTGGACTATACAATATATATATAATTCCATGTGTTAATATATTAATTTAGCAAAAAAGAAAAAGAAAAAAAAAGGTAAGTAGAAAAGCTACAGTCGGCTGGAGATAAGAACCTATTAATTCTTCTTGCTTTTAGTTTATTACAATAAAGGAATGAAAAAAAAAACAGAAACTTGCGTGTTTTCTCTTTTTCAAAACACTCCAAGTGAAACGACGTCGTTTCACTTTAAGTTTTTTTTTTAAAACACTTCAATCGAAACGACGTCGTTTCATTACAATTAACCTAAAAAAATAACCACGCGAGTCGTCTTCCTCGCAGAGCCGCAGCCAATTTGCAGACTCGCAAAAGTTTTTCCAGTTCAGAGTGCCCTGCCTCGCTGCGCCTTGAAACGCCTCTTCACACCTTCCCCGCGCTAAACGTGCAAGTCACGAAACAAACGACGCCTTGAGGCGATTTGCTGCCGCCTCGCTCCGACGCGCGCGAAGGCATGCCTTTGAAAACACTGGGTAATAGTTCTAAGAAAGGTAAAGGGAAGATTTCAGAGGCTGAAAACAGCATTTCTAAGAACACACTAGCAGATAGCTTTCTTAGCTCTGTACAGGAACTTCAATCAAACTACAGGCCTTCTGAAGAAGCAGTGGAGGTGTTGCCAAAGGATGGGTACCGTGCTGCCAAAGAAAAATCAAAGCTGTTAGTTAATGAGCACCAAGAGGAATTAAACTCCCGCAGTCAACCTCTAGTGCAACTAAGGGGCGAAAAGGATTCCCAGACAACTGGTGGTGGACCTAATCCAAATTTAGGGAATGGGGGTGGAGGGAGTAAGCAGCGTAAGAAATCCTCAAAGTTTCATAGGGTCCGCCTGGGTGATGGCTCTGCTGCAGCGCTTTTAGATCTCAGAAATTCTGATCCGCAGCCAGATGCTGGTAATGAGCGATTAGATGGGAGCAGTAACTCAGCTGGAGGATTGCCTGTTCAAGGTGTCTGGCGAAAGGGAACTCAGAAACTCTTTAGTTAGAGGAAAGAGCTAAGTTATCAGATTTTTTGTTAAAGTGTCCTGCGTTTACAAATGGAACCAGTAGTGCATGGAAAAGAGTTCAGAGGTGGTCCTTGTGTTTAACCGACTGGGTTTGCTTGTCGTGGCAATTTTGAGGTTTTTCTTGTTCTTTTGAAGGATCTTGCCTGATTGGGCTTATATGCGTTCACATGATCACATCTTCATATTTGTCATCATTATGCAAGTGTTCATATATACTCTTCGGAATGAGAATGCAGAGGTTTGAGACTTGATACAGTTTTGGTTAACGTTTGTGTCCTTGAAATTGGCGTGATTTGTGTTATTTATATGCAAAGGTCCCAAAACTATAATTAACCGAAAGTGCAATGGGTTGATTTTATGGAAGTGCTTTTGTAATATGGGAAGGCAAAATAAATAAATTTAAGAATTTTTTTTATGTGAATTTTTTTTATGGAAAGCCTCTCCAACCACTTGTTTCTGTACTTTGCAAATACCTTAAGTGTGGTTGAAACTGTGAAACTTTTAAGATTTGTTGCCTAATAAAGCGATTTGCAGAATGTCCTACGGCTACCAAATTACGTGATCCGAATTCGATGTGGTAGACATAGGATGAAAGTGTTGTGTTATTTCCTCTTCTAAGAGAGTCACTAACTGAAGATTGCAATATCTAGAATATTAGAAATAATAATGATAGCAAGATAAAAGGGCATGAGAAACTAATCAAAGCCCTTAAGCAAGAATTTTTAGCCTAAAATTATAATTATGGAAGAGCGAAACAACAACTTTTTTTTTTTTTTTTTCGCAGGCAAAATATGACGAGTTAAAGCATGAGTAGGAGGCAATAGTAAGAAATTTTAGAATTATTAATTTAAGATGTCAAGATCTGAACATGAAATTAGAGGAGAAAGAAAAAGAGGCTAACGAGCCCAATAAAAAAAATTATACTCAAGAAAAAAAGAGGGGCGACAATTACAAAAACTTTTGTCCTATGAAATGAATACACCCTCGGTATGGGCTGAACCAATAATGTCCCAAAAAAAATTAAAGCAATGCGGCTTTTGAGTGGGCCCTGAAGGGAAGAAAACGACATTCAGATGCTGGAAGACGACAAAACCCAGTGGGCGGCGCCTCTCCCCACATGTGGGCCGTGGGCCGTTTCGTTTTAACCGAGAGGACAATACCTCAATGTATCTAACAGTAAACGCTTCCGTCGCCGTGCCGTAACGGCAGAGGAAAGGTTTCAACTACATTCCGCGCAGCGAATCTCGTCAGTCGTAACGGTGAGAAATTTTGGCGGTAAAAAACACCTAACTCGGATTACGTGGCCGAATGCCATTGGCTGCAGATGTATGTATGTATGTGATTCATGATGGCATGGCATGTTGTTTTTCCCGCGCGACCGCATGCAGGTTTTCCCCCAAAAAGAGGCCTAAAACCAAAACCAATTAGAGAGAGAAAGGAAGAGAAGATAGATAGGGTTCGAAATCACAGAGAGAAGAGAGAGAGAGAGAGAGAGGGCTCTGCTTTGGAACGCCGTCGTTTTGTGTGTTACATTGACAGATCTACTGCTGTCTCAGAGCTCAGGGTAAGAGATCAGATAGATAGATCTCCACGGGTTTCACCTCGAAAGCAACTTCGTATGCTTTTTCTTTTTTCTTTTTTATTTATTTTTAAAGATGCAATTTTTGGGTCTCGTTTTCTTTTTGTCATGCTTTTTGTGCTTGTTGATGGTTGTTGGGCTGTTTATTCTTTTAAATGTTACTTTTTTTTTGCTTTTTGGAGTATAAACTTGGCTTGAATTTTTCTGAAGAGAGAGATCAACAAAATCACTTGCTAAACGGGTCGGGCACAGTGAGAATTTGGGTTTGGGTTTTGGAAATTTGCGTTTTTTTCTTGGCATGGATGTGGGGATTTTGGGTGGTTTTTAATAGTGGGGTTTTGCAATTCATTTACTTGCATCCTGTAATTCACGTAAAAACCTTTCAATTTTCTTTTGTTTTTATAAGAAATTGTCGCTTGAAATGAACTTCTTTTTTTTGGTAATTTTAATTTTTGGCTTGGTTCAGCTAGGGTTTAGATGAGTCCACCTGCTATGGTGAAGATGGAAGATACTGAAGTTTCAGCTTCCAACAGCTCAAATTCCGAAAGCAGAGATTCAGACCCCGTCCGAGCTCGATTTACTGATTTGTGCAAGGTTGCCACTTTTTACTGTAATCGAATTTATCCTTTTGTTGTTTCTTATTATAAATGTCATTTTGTTTGTAACGTTTAGTTTATAAACTATACTTTCGTTTACTTTTAGAATTTCTTTCTTTGTTTCCATTGTCATTTCTTGACTTTAGTTCCTGTGAATATATGGTTTCTAATTTCAGAATGGATTGTCGCTGGATGAGAATCCTTACACACAAGCTATGAAGTTGTTCAAAGAAACGAAACATCTATTAATAACAAATGCTTCGGCTATTGGAAATGGAACAGTACGTGTTTTCATCATTTTCCCATTGTATAGCCCTTATCTGTATTATGTTGAAATAAGGTCTGAGGTGATATCTTTTTGGATAGTTTTGCTGGAAGACTTGCTTAAATCTGAATTCGTTGTAACTTAAATGCATTTTTCTGTACAGCCTGAAGAAGCAGAAAGGTTCTGGTTTGCCTTTGTTTTGTACTCCGTGAAAACATTGAGTGAGAAGAATTCAGACAATTCTCAGCTGAGCTCTGATGATAATGGTTTTTCTCTCTTCCAAATTTTGAGAGCTGTGAAGCTGAAGTATGTTGTTTGCCAATCTGTTTTTTTGCTTTAGCTTACAATTAGCTTCTCGTCAATTCTTGTCATCTTATCTTCTTTTTTTTTGGGTGTTTTACAGCATTGTAGATTTTTTCAAGGAGCTTCCTCAGTTTGTTGTTAAGGCCGGCCCAATTTTGAGTAATCTTTATGGCATAGATTGGGAAAACAAACTTGAGGTATTGACTTGTCAGAGAGTTAGCTTATGCTTGTAAAGACTGTGTTGTTATTTCTTTGGACTTTCTGTTTCCATGAAGTTACTTGATCCCTTGCTCATGAGTTTGACTTCTTAATTTATTAGGCAAAAGAGTTGCAGGCAAATTTTGTGTACTTGAGCCTGTTAAGCAAGTGAGTGTCCTTTCATCTGCACCATTGTGCCTGATGTATTATTATGTCTGATGGTTTAAGAATTTCTCCTCTCTTAAAATTTTGCATTATCGTGTGTAAGATCTCTATACTTAGGATGAAACCAGGATGAAACTAATAAAGTGGTATTGCATGTGTGGTAATGTCAGATATGGAAATTATGGTAGTGGCTTGACATGGCAAAAATTAGAATTAATGTTAATTACAAAAGGGACGAGAAAAGAAATATGTAATGCAACTTCTTTGATATCTTCACTTAATTCTTTAAGGTTGACTAATAGCCCCAGAACTAATTTGTTGATCTCATCCTTATATATATAAAGAAAATCCTAAGTATGTGGTGTTAAAAACAACCTGGTTTTTATGTTATGTTGTGAAACACTACGCTCCCAGTTTAGTGATGAGCTTTATGAATTAATTCATGCTACCATTAACTGTTGTCACTGAATGCTATAGGTACATGAAATTAATTTGAATAGTGAAGATTTAACTTGATGCTAGGAATGCTGCTTTAGTGGTTTATTAAGCTTTCTTCTTTATTTCTAGAAAACACATTGAGTTGTGACTGGTGAGCAGTATGGACTTCTTATACTTTTAAAAACTTAGGGTTTAGGGTTTTCCTGAGCATATTATGATTTTTCTGCTCAGTAACGTGATGATTACATATATTTAGAAATCTGGGTTGCATCAAACTTACTGTCTACCCTTCAATCTATTTTCCTGTCCTATGGATTCATTTTCATGCTTCTATGTTTTTCATGACCTAGCGAAAAAAAGAGTTAAAACAATAGGAAATGAATAAAAGAAAAGTACGCTAAAGTGATGTGGTTTGATCTTTAGGATAGTTGACTACATGGTTGAAACCTGTTGTACATCATGCAACACCCCTATGGAGGACTCCTTTTGATCTTCTGTCTATCTAATTGCAGTTTCATGAACATTTAATAGATATGCTGAAATCACTAAGAACCTACAGGGGTGTGTTTCCCATGCAGTCTGGCAATCCATGTTTTTGCATGCTCCACACTGACATTTAGCACAAAATTAACATTATATGGACGAAAACTTACCATTAGTTTGATTTCCATTTAATTCAGACTGGATTACTAATCGCATTGAGATGATCCAAGGGACATGCAGCATAATTTCATTCATATATTTTGCGAACTATGTATGGTGCTGCATCATTTTAGGCAGAGGTCATGTTTGATGTTTCGTTGTATGTGTAATAAATGAGTTTCATTGCACTTTGTTTAGTATGAATTGCTTTTGTTATGTGAGAGGTTTTAAGCTGATAGAGTCATATCATAAATTTTTAATGCTTCAAGGTACTACAAACGTGCATACCGAGAATTCTTCTTGACAAGTGATGCAAATGCCGATAAGCAGTCAGCGGTTGCCAGTGGAACTGGTTATGTGTCGGAGTATCATCGTTTTGGATGGTTGCTGTTTTTGGCCCTTCGTGTACACGTATTCAGCCGATTTAAAGACCTGTTGACTTGTGCAAACGGATTGGTTGCCATATTGGTCAGTTGCATTACTGTATTACTTCTATTAGTTAGTGATATTAGGATGGCAGTCAGTTACTTGAAATGTCAAACATAATATTAATTTCAATTTTACAGTAAACAAGAGATAGGTTGCTTAAGAAGTGTGAAAACATTACATTATATTATGTATGTATTTATGTACATACATATATGCTTTTTGGCTTCCTACATGAACATGTATTTTCTCTTACGGCTTGGTTTTCCCTTTTACAGGCAATTTTAATTATTCATGTTCCTGTTCGCTTCAGGAAATTCAGCATCCATGATTCACCACACTTTGGTAATACTTTCACTTGGTGTATTTAGCACTTTGTATTGTATGTTTTTCATTTCATTTTTAAGGAGGGATGTTTAATTTTTCAAATTTGCTTTGGCTTTTGTTCATCTCCCCCATGCTTTTTCCCTTTATCTTTTGGGGTGGGTTTCCGTTTTGGCATTCTTCGTCAGAGCTGATTTGGTTAATGTCCAATTCAGCGAAGAAAGGCGACAATGGTGTGGACCTGCTTGCATCCCTTTGCAACATTTATGACACCTCAGAAGATGAGTTGAGAAATGCAATGGAAATGGCTAATGCTTTAATAGCAGACAT